GCATCTCGTCATCTCCATACATCACAGCAGCAGCATCTAAGCCTCTGGATAAAGAAATAGTGACTGGCCTGGGCACTGTGGGTTGGCACATCAGACTCATTGCGCTTCCATTGAGTTTTCACATCTTTAAGCAGTTTATTACACTCATCCCAGACGCATGGGCAACTCCAGCAAATGGCAAAGAAACACCCATTTACTGTGCACAATTATTCTTTGTTGTCCACAGAACAAACTGACGGCTAAGATGGCTCCAAGTGACTTTAGTGACACCTGGTGTTTTCAAAGTCCCTAATCCCTTCTACACTTGCAAACCTGAAGTCTGAGCAGGCAAGCTTATCCTTAGGATGTCTGTGATTAAGGCAGCCCATGATCTCGACAATAACTTTATTATTACATTGCTTAAAAGCCTTAAAGAAATTGCACATGTGCCACAGTACAAACGAAGGACAAGGGTACATAAATAAACAAATGTTAAAAGAATCGATGTATCTTGTCAAATCATTATGGCTATCAGAGGCACTGTTGGCCATAAATTCCACTTTATTTAGTCAACAAATCCCTCAACATAAGTAGAAAATTTCCACAGTGGGTTTTGTAATGTAGTTCAAGATACTTTCATATCAGAACCAGCTCAGCTGATGTTGTGGCCATTTTTAGAAATGATCAGGGATATTCAGAGAAGTATAGACATAGATAGGGCCATGTTTAGAAAAACTTTTTTCCTATGTGATAATTCCCTTATAAACATGCTAGACTTACTTTTCTGGGCATTTAAGATTCTCTTAAGAGGAAGCTGGGAGAGATGGCTCAATGGTGAAAAGTACTTACTGCATAGGACCCGAGTTTGTGATTTACCTTCCACCTCTGGGAGATAATCAGGGACAAGAGCAACAGGCTGTATATTCTGGGATTCTCCTGGACAGCAACTCAAAAGAGGGTTTCTCATGTCTCATACTGGAGTTTTTGTTAGGTGATCTTCAGCCCTTGGAAGAAGCATTATTATCCTAGATTTAAAAAGTATATAAATACAACGAATTATATATATTATAGTTTTTTATGTAAATGATTAATAGTATGAGTCCTTCTTGAATTCTCAGACATCCTTATTGTTATTTTCCCCACCTCCTTCCTTCTCCAATGACTACATCTACAGAACAGTCCCACACCTAACGCTCAGGGAACTTTACTGAAAGGGGTTTGGAAAGATTGTAAGAGCCAGAGAATTGAAAAGTTTACTGTGAGATTGTGTCTCCTAGTAACATCAGAAGCTATACCCATAAAGTCTCAGCAACATGACTTTCGAAATATGAATGAACAAGGATGACACCAACAGACATGCCAAACTGGATTGAGGAAAGCCCAAAAGGCCTCATACAAATCAACTCTTTTATCAACCAATTATTTTTGTTTACATTAAAAAACCAGATAGTTACTGTAATTATGAAATTTCTCAAATATACATTCGGTATGTTCATATAAATACATGTATGGATCGCGAATCATAAGCTCAATGTTCTTTATTTATGGCTAGAAACCAAATATGAGTGAGTACATCCCATGTTCCTCTTTTTGGGTCTGGCTTACCTCACTCAGGATAGTGTTTTCTATTTCCATCCATTTGTACGCAAAATTCAAGAAGTCCTTATTTTTTACTGTTGAGTAATATCTAATATGTATATATTCCATACTTTCTTCATCCATTCTTCCATTGAAGGGCATCTAGGTTGTTTCCAGGTTCTGGCTATTACAAACAATGCTGCTATGAACATAGTTGAGCATACACTTTTGTTGTATGATAGGGCCTCTCTTGGGTATATTCCCAAGAGTGGTATTGCTGGGTCCAGGGGTAGGTTGATCCTGAATTTCCTGAGAAACTGCCACACTGCTTTCCAGAGTGGTTGCACAAGTTTGCATTCCCACCAGCAATGGATGAGTGTACCCCATATATGAGCTTATAATTCGCGATCCTAGAGAAGCTAAATAAGAAGGTGAATCCAAAGACAAACATATAGGCATCCTCCTGAATATTAACCTTCATCAGGCGATGAAAGGAGACAGAGACAGAGACCCACATTGGAGCACCAGACAGAAATCTCAAGGTCCAAATCAGGAGCAGAAAGAGAGGGAGCACGAGCAAGGAACTCAGGACCGCGAGGGGTGCACCCACACACTGAGACAATGGGAATGTTCTATCAGGAATTCACCAAGGCCAGCTGGCCTGGGTCTGAAAAAGCATGGGATAAAACTGGACTCTCTGAACATAGTGGACAATGAGGAATACTGAGAACTCAAGAACAATGGCAGTGGGTTTTTGACCCTACTGCACGTACTGGCTTTGTGGGAGCCTAGGCAGTTTGGATGCTCAACTTACTAAACCTAGATGGAGGTGGGCGGTCCTTGGACTTCCCACAGGTCAGGGAACCCTGATTGCTCTTCGAGCTGATGAGGCAGAGGGACTTGATCGGGGGTGGGGGAGGGAAATGGGAGGCGTTGGCGGGGAGGAGGCAGAAATCCTTAATAAATAAGTAAATTTAAAATAAATAAATAAATACATATATGGGAAGAAAGCAATGTCAAAATATGTGTCAAAACTTGAAGCAACTAATATTAATCTTGTGTGTTCTTTACTCATGTACATATGTTCACATGTGTGGGGCTGAATCAGCAAGTGGAGGCCACAGGATGATGCTCTGTGTCTTCCTTTATTGTTTCCCACCAAGCATGGCTCAGTGATCCTGTAGCTTATAGGCTGGGCCAAAGAAACTGACCAGCAAGTCCCAGGGAGCTTCCTGTTGTCTTTGTCTAGACTGTAATAGCTGGACCTTTCTACTTCTCTTCCCCACCAAACTCCAAAGACATGGATCTGTCAAAAGTATAATTACAGTAACTTTCAGCATTCATCTCTACCATACTAACAACATTGCAGTGGTACACATGAAACTGATATCAGGGTCTGGATAAGATGCAGACTTCCTGTGCATGCTTCCCTCAAGGGAAACACCCAACATATAAGATGAGGTAACTGCAGATTTTAACATTTCTATGTCTAGTACTAGTATAAAGGTATTGGAGTTAAATGTTCTTGTTGGTATACAGACTATTAATAAACTCAAATTTATATGAATTATGTGTTATTCTTGCTTGTCTTTCTATTAGCACACTGCTAAAATGGTTTTCTGTTCAAACTTCTGTGAATAAGCTAAACAAAAATAATGTCACGTGAAAGGACCACCATTTATGTGAATTTCTCCAATTTTGTCTTTTTATCTCTAAACAAATGAAGACCCTAAAATGTTTAATGAACAAACCAGAAGCCAAAGCCAGTTTAATACGCATGATGCTACACCTTTGATTTTCACACTAGTTAGAAAAATTCAGTTCCTCATACTTCTTCATGAACTGCACAGCTACATACACATTTGTTGGAACACATGTAAGTAAATGTTGGGAGCTATAGATTCCTGGCCCCTTGACTTTTCTGCCTGCAGCTTCTCTGAGCACGAGACCTTGATGGCACACTGATGGGCCTGCAGCTGAAAGATCCCGAGAGCTGGGTGTGTCTAAGGATCCCTATATAAGCTGCCCCTGAGCACAATAAAGGGGGACATTTGGCATTCTTGTATCAATAATGACCCATGTCCATGTCTCTCTGTCTGTCTGTGTATGCATGTGATTTTAAGTCTCCAGGCTTAGTTCCTGGCTCGCATATGATCTTGTGACACAGGAGCTACAGGACCATCGAAATTTTACAGGACTGGTCGGGGTTTACAATTAAATAGTGATGTATTCATATGAGGTAACTGTAATAACATTTCCTTATGCCATTGTTATACATACTTAGTTTTCGCTGCCTATCCCCCCCCATCCTTTCATGTCCCCAATTGCCCTCCCCACTATCTGTCCAAACCCTTCCATCTTCAGCATTTCTCTTCTGTATCACATCACATATTTCCTGTTTCTGTGTCCACTTCCTCCTTTAAAGTGAAGCCTCTATTGACTCCTTTCATGGATCCCTTTCTGGTCACTAGGCAACCACATACACTCTTTCCCTCCAAAATACACAGGTAAAACCTAGAAGCTAAGGTCTCCTTTGGGCAATATGACAATTTCCAGGAAAATCTCGCCTTTTTATGGCTGAATAGATTAGATTGCATATATGTACCATATTTTCATATCTTTTGATGGGCATCTAGGCTGAATCCATTTCCTGCTCTTGTGAAATGAGCAGTAATAAATGTGGATGTGCAAGTGTCCCTGCGGTAGGATACAAAGTCCTTTGGGTGTATTCCCAGGAATTGTATACCTGAGTCAGAGTGCAGTTAAATTTTCGTGTTTTGAGACATCTCCACACTGGTTTCCTTAGTGGTTCCATTGGTATGCACTATTCTGGAAATAGTAATAATGTGTCACCACGGACGGTGAAAATGCAGTGCTTCTCCGTGCTTAAATTATGGTATTCTGTCTTCTACTTCCGTATCACCTGTGCTGTATAACCCTTCTCGAATCTCTCTTTCCCTTAAGAATTGGACAGTTGTCCATATTGGGTTTCATGGTCTAAGTTGATGATGATGACTGACCAGGTCTCTCCCTCCTTTCCCTTAAAGCTACCCTGTAAATGCTATCTTGGAGATTATTGATTTTCCCACAGCAGAAAAAAAAATCAAATTACATATTTAATTGTGTGCTTTTATATGTATAATATCCAACTTATTTTAGAAATATTTGGGTTTTCATACTTCTATTATAAAGAAAACACATACACAGAGAGTGAAAGGAAATATTATTTCTATAGCATTTTTTTTACAATTTGTGTTCAAGCTACTTTTATGTAATATCAGAAACATCAAGACAAAGGGTTTCAGGGTTATTAAAACAAAATGTACATTATAAATGAAACTGTACTACAATGTTATCTCAGGCGTAAGAGATGGAATAAACTTAGGGAATTAGACTATCCAAGATCAAAGTCTGACTCCATTCTTTTCTAGCTATTGAAGCTTGGATTCCCCAAACTACAGTCTTTCACATTCTTCATCTTCAAAGAGCCTATGTTTGTATTATATACATCACTAGATGATTGACAATAGAATAGGATAGCATATAAGAGAGTTTGCAAATGGAAAACTATACTTTATGAAACATTATGAAAGTGGAGACTTTCTGATAATTGTACATAATTAGCACCTAGTATACACACTGAAACAAGCTTCACTCAGTGGGGAAGTCATGCAAACATTTCAACTCTCAATGACAATGTAAAAAATTATTTAAAAACGATGCAAAACATGAAAACTTTAGTAGGGAAAACCTGGAAAGACCCAATTTCTTAGACAGACAGCCATTAAAGGTGTTACAATGATTTACAGATTACAGATGTATTCACTCTTCAGAAAAAGTTGTTAGTAACCTTATTTTCAACTTTCAGCAGCTACCGAATAATCACATTAACTGTTTTTCAGCCATCAAGCATGCTTTAACAAGAGACGAGCAAAAGTCTGCCTCTAAATCACATTCAATGTGAACATGCACGAATGCCCACACACAAAGTTTATAGCATGAGTTTCTTCAGATTCTTGACAGTTTTTAACTACTATTCCTTAACACACACGCAGAGAGAGTTCTTCAAAAAGCCGTGGCTATTTCATACGAATCTGGAAATGGGACAGACACGCGTCCAGATCCAGTCACAAGAGGCAGAATGCCAGCAATCGGTATAACTTGCCAGGACAGAGTCAAAGTGACATTCCTGTTTCCCTTGAGACCGTGCCCGTCGTCAAAGAAAAAATACTTGCTTTTGACATCTTTCAGATCCAGCTTGGGGTTCTCTCCTCGCAAAAGGATCTTGTCCCACAGGACCACCTGGTTCACAGCGTTGCTTTTCGTGGAATATTCTGCCGAGAGGTAAAGGAAGAGCTGCTTGACGTTCCAGTCGAAAGTCTTCTCCAAATCCGCAGAGATGTGGAACGTGATGAAGCCCAGGTCGCTTCTTTTTCTGGGTCCGGTGAAGTCCTCCACTTTTTTGAGCAGGACCCTGGAGACTTTCAGGCTCACTGGCGCGCTTCTGTCTTTGAAGGCGGTGGTGAGGATGCAGCCCAAGGTGAGCGCCGCCATGACGCTCAGCGTGAAGGCGAACAGCGAGTTCGCCCGCGAGAGCAGGGTGTTCATGTTGCAGGATGGATTGGCGGCTTCCTCCACGCGGGCTCCACCGGCGCTCGCTCACTCGCTCTCTTGCTTGCTAGCTCAGCTCGCTCACAGAGACTCGCTCGCTGGGCAGGGCTTGCAGTCTGCTCGCTCGCGTTCCCTCTGCCTTCCTCTGGCTCGCGCGGAATGCTGGGCGCGCGCACGCGTCCCTGGAGCGCGCACCGCCCATGTTGCCTGTTCTTTTTTCCCCCAAGTCACTGGTTAACCCTACCACCACTGTCAGCTGATAGATAGTCTAAGGCACTTGGGGCATCTGACGGGAAACAGCAGCACAGTGTCTCTGAATAAGCCCAGGAGGACTTGCGCTGCCTCATCCCCCACACCCAGACACAGTCACTAAAGGTCCCATCTGCCCTGTCCAGGGAACCCTTCCCTTTGCACACTGCTGCATCATGGCTTCCATACAGCCTAGCCCCTCCCCTGGCCTTCTGCAACAGGTTCCTGATGGCTGTACCCCACACTAGCTCACCCTGCAGTCCATTCTCTGCACAGAGAGCAGCCATCATCACCTACAGTTCCTGTCACTTCCCTACTGGGATCCTCCACACTGAAAACACAGTCATAGTGTTAAACAAGTGCCCCAGACTCTGTGCTACATCTGCTCTTTCCTCCTCATTCCCCATCAGCCTGTTTGTTATCTTCCAGGCTCCAGCAGCTGGGTTTGTCCTCCGGACAACTGGAGCCCACACAGTGCAAGCACATCAAGAAATGGCTTGTCCCTGCTGGCTTCTTATCATTCAGGACTCGGCCTTCACTGATAACTCTGGGTGTGTAATCCTCTGTTTGATGTGGGATTTGTGTTGCTTTTATTGATTGATGAGTAAAGCTATTTGGGCCGATGACTTAGCATAGTCAAGTCAGGTGGGAAAAAAGAACAGAGATAGAGAGAGAGGAGGCAGGGTCAGAAAGATGCCTTGGAGCTGCTGCCTAAGAAGAAGGACACCAGGAACCATATCGGTCAGCCACAGCCTCGTGGCAATACAGAGATTAATAGAAATAGGCTAATTTAAGAAGTAAGAGGTAGCTAGAAATATATCAGTGTTGTAATTAATATTGTTTCTGTGTGATTATTTGGGTCTGGGTGGGCGGGAACTAATTGCTGTCTTTCTGTTTATTTTCATCAAACACAAATCCTCACATAACTTGCCTGGTTAATTGCTTTCTCACACAGTTTTGCTATTCCACTATGGTGAGAGATCCAGGATCCCTTTCTGTCTTGTTCTTCATGCTGTTTTCACAGTGCTTGGCCAGTGCTTTGTATATACATCCCTGGACGACTATTAGTAAATTGAAGGTATTTCTCACGGTCAAGAAAAGATAGAAATTTTACAACTGAGAAGAATGAAATAATACCCAAAATGATTCAAGATACTGAATATCTTGTTGCAAGCAGGCATCAGTACTTTTCAAAACTCAATGACTATCAGAATCAAGTGGAAACGACCCACCCCAATTCCATGGTTTCTATTTAGAAGGCTTGGAATAGACTCAAATATCTTCAAGTTTAATAAGCACCAGCAGAAGTGTCAGAACTTGGTCAAAAGTATGGTGAAAGTGAACAATACCTTGGGGAGCTGTGAGGGAGACTGCAGGAAAAAAAGGCAGAGGGCCTTTTACCTGAAACACAGTTTGGTTCCCTGGATTGCTCTTGGATATGATTTGAGGCCTCCTGTGATAAACAATCACATTCAATTTATAAAACGTGTTTATTCTTGTTGAATATTAGAATATAGCTATAGAACCCAATCTGGTTAGTGAACCTTGAATCTTGATATAGCCTTCTGCCTTGCTTTCGTGCCTTCCTAGATACAATCTATAGTTTGTGCCAGGAAATTGTGTTTAAATTGGTCTGTCCCGAGAAGGTTCTGGGAAAGGTCTGGTCAGTTAATATTTAGTACTGGATGGAGAGATGGCTCAGTAGTTAAGAGCACTGCCTGCTCTTCCAAAGGTCCTGAGTTCAATTTCCAGCAACCACATGGTTGATGGCTCACAACCATCTTTAATGAGATCTGGTGCCCTCTTGAGGAAGAGACCTGATCAGTCGTCCTCATCAACTTAACACCTTAAAACCCAGTATAGACAATATGTGCCCACTGGAGTTTATTTACATCTTTCTGGTCATCCTTTTCTGAACTCAAACAGCCTCCTTTGGATCATTGCTTTCTTTGTTACACTCACATATCAAAGGACACTGGAACTGAAGTGAGGTTGTCTACAGCATCAGACTGCAGCCCACTACATTCTTTGAGGTCTTCAGATCCCAGGGCTAGCAGACAAGATCTGCATAGGTTGGTGAGAAGTAGACAAGAAGATTTTTGATGAAGGGTTTCATGCTTGGAAAATTTCTGACTTCATTTATCAACGTTTTAATCCAAGTAATTTGATGACACTATCCAGAGTTCTGGGATAACTGGAAAGTCTTTATTGATGTAATTGATTCAAGTGCCCTGGCCATTTAATCTACCTGAGAACACAAGGTTCTTCGCCACCTGGGATCACTAAGCTCTAGAGAGTAGTCCTGTTTATTAGAAGGACTGGTGTTTTGTTTGATGTTTACTAGAAGAATTGGTGTTCTGTCTGATCCTTTTGTTTAGATGAGGCTGGTTCTGGGAAGTTGCTTACCAAACGCCCTAAAGATGGAACTCTTTAATGTCTTCACTCTTATTCCTCTAACATGTCTCAGAGATGACACTTCACTGGCTTCTTCTGTATGAACCCCTTATTCTGGGTAGCTGAATCTTTACTCTTGCCTGTCCTAAACAGTGCAAGTTTAAGCACCATTGATTTAATGCAGTTACAGGAGTACTGAGGCATCTGCTGATACAGTTACTCTAAATAACTCCTTGGTCCTTCTCTCTACCTGAGACTGACAGGGTGCTTTTCCATATAGGATCTCAACTCCAGAGTATTCCTTGTAGTTAGGATATATTCAGAATTATTTGCTTGTGTGGAGAAGACTGGTGAAGGGTAGTGTCTTACTAAAGGTTTCCCCATGGTGGACACTCAATCTCTCCAGGAATTGATGCAACTAACTCTACAACAGACTTGTTTCTTCATGCTGAACCTCAGATTCTGCATTGTAGATTAGGCACTCTCCTCTAATGTTATAGTAAAAGATGGGGAGGAAGAAATAAAGCATGTGGAATAGAGATGAAAGCATTTAGATGGGAAAGGCAGACTCAGTTCACTTGAAGTTGAATGCTTTCTTTTCCTCCTCCCAACTTTATCCTGCAACTCCGCTTATACACTAAACAGTGGAACAAGACTTACCTAACGGATAGGTGTTTTATGCATGGTTATTATGATATTGATGTCAGAGGTATTGCTGTGACTAAATAAAGGAGGCAAAGTGCAAGGAAGCTTTCTGAGGGTAGACTATATACAATACACTGTACATCACTATTTTTAGACATTTATTTAAAAAAATCTATCTTCTGATGTAAGTAATGTTAGTGGATTCCTCCCAGCATGCCATTTAGTTGGAGGAAGGAGGCCACTTGTTCTTTCTGCCCACCTGGCTAGCTTACACTCAAAATAACCACACAGAAACTGTATTAATTAAATCATTGCTTGGCCCATTAGCTCTAGCTTCTTGTTGACTAACTCTTGCATATTAATTTAACCCAACTCCATTAATCTGTGCATTACAACGAGGCTGTGGCCTATCAGCAAATTTTCGGCACTCTGTCTCTGGTGGCGGATCCATGGCACCTCCCTGACTCCACCCTTCTTTCTCCCGGCATTCAGTTCAGTCCTCCCTGCCTGCCTAAGTTCTGCCCTATCAACAGGCCAAAGCAGTTTCTTTATTCATCAGTGGTAATCACAGCACACAGAGGGTATTCCCACAAGGTAGTACTATTCCCTTTGAATGAGGAGATAATTTTAGACAGCAAAGTTTATGCTAAAGAATTCTGGGAAGGAAGGTATCAACTTAATATTGATGCAATCTTGAAGGGAAATTTATTGACTAAATTGTAGAAAATGTATTAATAAAAAAGGGACAACTCTGAGAAAAATGTGACTCAAGTCAGGTTGATTCAAACATAGTATAAATGAATAAATGAGCAGGAAAAATCTGTACCACATCTCAAATGTCAAATAATAATTTTAGAAAGAAAATCATAATTAGAAAAACAACACATGATGACATTATAGTGATAAGTGATTCAAACAAAAATCATGTGGAAACACAGTTGGCACCAATTTCCACAGCAGGCACTGAGTTGTCATGGTAACCACATTGACCAAGGACAACTGGAAAATCAACAGTGGTATTAATCTTATTTCTAATATATGCTAAGATCCAAGTAAGAATGGCATGACTGGATTAATTAATTTCAAGTATTCCTCATGATAAACATTCCTATAACATAAATATCCATGCATTCATATGATCACACATTCCCACATACATATGTCTTCCCTTTTATTTCAACACCCAATATCCTGGGAATAGATTATGGTGAATTTGCTGGAAGGTGAAGAAGTACAACCACACTTTTCAACAGATTCATTTTGAACCACATATATTAATTAAATCCTACTGAACTATGTTATCTCAACAAACTGACTTTCCATAGATTGTCAACAGATAAAAATTGATACTTTGATCCCTAGTTTCTGTATATTTTCAATAACTTCTTAGAGCAAATTTGGATGTACAGGGAAATGCATGTTAATCAGGAAGTACTTAGAACTGTGCTACTAAGCTTTTTTCCCCTCAATAGCTACTATTACATATTTGGTCACTGAAAATTTGGGCGAATATATGATAACCTGTATTTGTATTTTAAAAATACTGTCATTTAAAAATTACTACAAAATATGAAGTATCTGTGTGGATAATATATTTACAAGAAGTTGTACCTGTAGATTAAATACTATAAGATGTTGCTACAGTAATTAAAGAGTCAGTCAACTGGAAGGCACATTTTGTTCATGGGTCAGAAGACTGGGCTTATTTATATAA